GTCCCATAACGAGATTCCCTCCGGGCCCGACCCAGGCCTGAGACTGGGTGGCCTTCTCCAAGACTAACTCAGCCTGCGGAGGGTCGAGCTTTATGGGTTTAGGGTTTAGGAGTTTAGGGTTTAGGGTTTAGGGTTTAGGAGTTTAGGGTTTAGGGTTTAGGAGTTCAGGGTTTAGGGTTTAGGGTTCAGGGTTTAAGGGTTTTTTTTCCCTTGGTGCGCTTCTCGATTTGTGCTCTAAGGGCTTGGGGTTTAGGGTTTTGAGAAGGGGTTGCAGAAGGGGTGCCAACAAGGTTTTGATTTAGGGTTTCAGAATTTAGGGTTCACGGCTCCGTTCCCTCTTACCTTGCAAGGACGAAGCCCGCATTCAGGGCTTCAGTATTTTCGGTTTGGCGTTTCAGATTCCAGGGTTAGGACGTTAGGGATTGGGATCCTAAGGGTGAGTTGCCTGGGCCCAGGGGTTAGAGCTTAAGGGTTTGGGCTTCCGGGCTTGATAACTCCCGGTATTATTAAGGCCGCCATATTAACATCCCTGAAATCCCCCCGCTTCAAATGCATCCGAAATTGAATGCCTAAGCCGGGGAAGCCCCGTCACCGAAATAAACATCAACTGCACAAACCAGAAACCAGAACTCTGAACTTCGATACTACGGACGGTCCATTTCAAACTTCATGACAAGGCTTGACAAAATGTTCTTTGTATATGCATGTATGTACGTATGTATGTATGTATGTATGTATGTATGTATGTATGTATGTGTGTATGTATGTGTGTATGCATGTATGTGTATGTGTGTTTGCGTGCATATACAAATACACATGCGATCAAAGATGCAGACGTTCCTTTTTTGGCTCTCGCCGCGCTTACTTGCTCCTTTCGTTCTTCTCCTTCTTCCGCTCCTGGCGTGTTTGAAATTCAGGGTTAGGGTTTGGGGCTTGAGGGTTTGAGAGTTTCAGTGTTCGCCCCGGAACCGCCTCATTGTGTGCGAGGTCGTGGGCAGCGGCACAAGATACTGGAGATACATGCATGTGGGCGTGTATGCATGGGAAGTGGAAACAAAGCTGCTGGTGGAGGCACCATATTTCCTGAGACGGGTAGTTGATAAGTAGCTACCGGTAGGTCGCGTCAGCAGCTACTTATGCAGGCAGGCAGGCAGCGTCATTCTGCACACACATCTCAGCTACTTTCCTGCGCGTTTTTCTCCCGCAGGCTGTCTCCAATCACGCCAACACAATACCTATAGTCTCCATTGTAGTTCCTTTTGTTGGTTTAACCAAATATATATTAACGTGTTTATAAGCTATCCCCAAAAAAGAACTACAATGGAGACTATAGGTAGACTGCTGAATCCTGAGTCGACTCGGGCTCCATACCTGGACCGATTTTTTGTGCTCAATCCTGCAACGTCAAGCCCGAAACCCCAAATTCAACAGGTGCAAAACTTTTCACCCAAAGGCCAAGTGCAGCTTTGGAGCTGATATGAATTGCAACTCTAGAGCCAAAGCCCACGGCCTCCCTAAACCCCTAGGCAAATGCCCCGATCACGCACAGGACGAGCCCTAAACCCTGGAGTCGCCGCATGACGCGCCCGAGTCCTTGTCGTTGGGCTTCTCATCTCCATCCTCTGCTTCTGGCGCAGACCTTTTAGGGTTTCAGGGTTTAGGGTTTAGGGTTGTGACCCAAACAGTTGATCGCCCCAACATCGAGCTTATTTCCCCCTTTCCTTGGAACAGATAACCCTCAACTTGGCTGCAGCTCAGATCAGAGGTTCAGTATCGAGGGCTTGATGTTAGAAAAGACTACGCTTTTGTCGAGTGTAACAACTTGCGAGATGTTGCGTCCCACCTTGAGCTGCTTGTGTACTTGTGCTGCGTATGGCAACCCGATGCCGAAATCCTGTAGACCCCGCACCCTCAACCCGAAGCCCTAAACCCCGAAGTCTTTTGCATCCAGGCCTCTTGCGACGGCCAGGTACCCCAGAAAACTGTAAACCCTGAAACCCTGAAACCCTAAACCCGCTTTTTTTTGCATCTGGACTTGATGAATGCCAGCACAACCCTTTTTTTGAACCCAGACTCTGCCAACCCTAAACCCCAAACCCAACAAAACCCTAAGACCCAAGGGGCTCCGGCGCTGCTGGAGCTGCTTCATCATCTGTGGCCTACAATGACTCACTGTTGGTTTGTCATTGTCATCAATATGATTGACTACGTAGTGCATTCTAATTATTCATGTTATTGTTGTTGTTATGGTTATGATAATGCTTACTATCGGTAGTTTCTGTTGTTGCTATTGTTCGTTGTGCTCTTATTACTACTAATTAATGTTACTAGCACGGATATCATTGCTTATTCATATTCTTGGCATTCCGAGTATGATGATAGCCACCATTACTACTTGGGTCTTGTTATTATTAAGAACCCTGTTTTTGAACCCAGGCTCTTTGCTATCAGCTGGGAGGAGGTATTAAGAACCCTAAACCCTAAACCCTAATTTATGACTTGCAGGAAGGTCTGTTCTTCTAGGTTTGGCGGCTGTTCGGCAAAGGCTTGGGGATGTGGGCTTGTGGGCTATGAGGCTATAATGGCTTTATGATCGTCGGGTTTTGGGTCTAGGAGGTTGGGACATAGCTATAGAGACTATGCAGAATGGTCAGTGCTGGAATGAGGTATGCCTTCATGCTTGACAGTAAGCGCATAGAAACCAATATAATATCCCAAATCAGGATGTTCCAACTTTCTAGCTGGTACAGTGGCCGCTGTAATCTTGGGGTCTTGGCCCCTCTCGGGCTAGCTATATGGGGGGATCTTAACATTCGGGGGATCCCTTCTTGGAGGGGTCCTTGCTTTAAGGATCCTCTTATCTAGCGCTCTCGTGAGGGTCACTACTTGGAGCTTCATGGGTAGTTATAATTGGGGTTATAAGTAGGGTAACTATACTTATAACCCATATTAGGGGACTTCTAACCCCACTCATATCTACCCATGAACCTCCAAGTAGTTTCTGAACCTCCCGGATTTTAGGATCTGGCGTTTCGGGGCGTAGGATGCCCAATTGATTTGCGATGGCGGGCCAAAGTCGGAGCCTTATGGTAAGCCCCGCTGGATTAGATACGGTATGGTATCGCTTCTTATACCATAGCTGTCGCAAGAAGGCCCTATAGAACCCATTCCATAAGCCCATGAAAAACCTTGTTGACAAATCCTACGGAATCTCAAAACAAGAACCCTTGTCAAAACCCTCTGCAACCCTGGAACGAAGGCTCCAAATCTTGATGAAAGCCCAGCAAATCGCAAGTTTCAAGGCAGGTCCTGGTCGGGGTCTGCTTCCTCCGGCGTAGCCTGGATTTTTGGGTTTAGGGTTTAGGGTTTGAGTCTCTTGGCTTGTAAAGGGTTACTAGAAGGGATCTAAGGTTCTTGGATGAGGGCTGTTCAAGAAGGAACTGCGTGCAGTCGGCGTGAAAACAGGTTAGCTTCCTACCGCAACTCTGCAAGCATACAAAGCTAAGACACCAGTATACCCATAGGCCCCATAGTAGTTCCTTGTTGGGATTACCTTATAGGATTCTATAAATGAACCCCAAAATGGAACTACTTTAGGGCCTATGGGTACAGCCAGCAGTCCAGCAGAAGGAAGCTGTCGTGTGGTGAGGTGGCGCTTTAGGGCTTCAGGGTTTCACGGCGCCTACGGTGTAGGCACAATAACACGTCTGACAATATGAACCGCGATGATGTTACAAGCGCCGGTGGGTGAGTGCCCGAAGCTCCCTCTTGTCTGCAAGCACTTGCTCCACTCACATTACTGCTATGACCATCGCCCCGACGACTGCGCACTCAGAAGGACTCCGACAGCAACGGCGGTCTGACCGGACACCACAACGCACGAATAGCACAGCTGAGGCATGCGCTGCACCGTCCATGTCCTGGCAGGAAATAGCAAGAGCGCCCCTTTGCATTCAGCTATTTAACGATCATCAACTCAAAGCTGACAGAATTGAACACGCGATGCTCGATGCCCGGCTTTATCCAGCTATCCATACCGTCGACTGAGTGATCCGATCGTGAATTACGTCTGATTTGGAGTACGATACCGTCTCGACGAGTTGAGGTTGTTGTGGGCATGTTGTCACTAACAAGGCAAAACCAATCCCCACACGGAAACCCGCCCCGTGTCACCTCCGGAGTGGCAGCTCCATCGGCAGCTCCACTTTCAACTGCCACATCTGCGTCACCACCATACCTCCGATCCGACATGGGTGGTTGTCAAAATTAGGGTCCCTTTTTGGGTCCTTATAATAATACGGCACCAAATATTTAGGGTACCCCAAAAGGGACCATAATTTTGACAACTAGCCAAACTACCCACATGCAAAGACTTCGCCACACGTGAATCACGCATCCCAACACCCTGAGACACCATGAGCCTTCTAGTAAACCCCGGAACAATGAGCCGTCAGTTTCACGCTTGGCTGCTGGGCAGCTTAACAATCCCTGCATGACTGCTTTGTCTGCTTCCTACCCGAACAGTTGAAACCTAATGCCTGCCATCCATCCACAAGGAGCACTTCAGAGAAGCGCCCTGGACTATCCGATCTCGAAATTTGTGGGATGCCAGCCCGAGCTGGAGCCCTAACCCGAAGCCCTGAGGGTGGCATGGGGAGCCCTTGAGGCTTTTGCGAAGTTGAAAATCACTGCTTGGTTGGCGTGGTCTCCGAAGCTGCGAGTGAAACTCTGCCACTGGCACTTTGACCAGCGAAATCTTCTACGATTCGGAGTTGCCGAACCATTTTTCAGCATTGACATTGACGTCGGGCTCTGTGCACAGCCGTGAGCCTCGCGTGACTTGTGCTGAAGCTTCCATACACCTTTGGGAAGCGAACCTGCTCATCACCTGTGTTGTGCCGTCCTACAGGTCACCCTCCATGCTTGGGCCTCAGACACACTTCGTCTGCAAAGGGCACTGCTGAAGCCTGGGCTCTGATCGCGGCTGTGCACTGAGCCCACTACTTCGGGTTGAGGCCAGATCTCACTTTGTGATACCAGCCGTCGCCGACATGCTGCAAAGACTGAGAATTGAAGTCCTCTTCCTTCAGTGCCCAGAAGGACACCTTGCAGGCTGCACACCGACACTCATGGCCGAGGAGTTCAGGACGCTCGGGCTACGCTTCAAGGTTTCACAGATACAGACGCTCAAACCTGCACAGCGCTTCGTCAGAGATGCCAACACTGTATCTGCCGAACCCCCTCATCGTCGCCGTGCAACGGCAGGAACAGTAGCACTGCGCGGAATCTTTACCAGGCCCCTAACGAGACAAGCTGGAGGTTCGAACACCCGCATCCCAAACTTCAACAGACCCTCAGCCGACAAAGCAACCGAAACCCCACATAATCCCCAAAGTCCTACACCAAAGCCCCATGCAAACTTCGCCAAACCCCCCATAAATGCTCATTCTCAAGCCTTCAGACTCGAGCCCTTAAACCCGAACCGCAAGAGCCCCGAACGTTTCTTCAACAACACAGCCCAAACCCCTGACCCTTTCTGAGCGGTGCCGACGGCCGAAGACCTTCCCATGCTAGATTCTAGACTGTGAACCTTACTTGGAGGTTCATCGGTAGTGATACGTGGGGTTGTAAGTCCTCAAATATGGGTTATAAGTATAGTTACCCTGCTTATAACCCCATTTATAAAGTAGACTGTGAGCCTTATGTAAGCCCGACATGTCACTCAGCCTTAAGCCCTACGACCCAAACCCCAAACCCACCTGGCAGAATCCTGGCTCGAATGCTTCGATCGAGGACACGCCGATGCTCGCAAGCGTGGGTCTTGGAAGACCTCGGCTCTTTTGCTTAGCCTCCTTGAATAAGGGTTCTGAGTAGGGAACTATGAGTGTTCTTCCCTTGGAAGGGATGAAAAAGGACTCTGAAGATAGAACTATGCTGAACATAGAACCATGCGTGTTCTTTCGCGAGTTTTGGTATACAGGTTTCTGTATGTAGGGTTCTTTGCAGTGTTTCGACCGGGTTCCATGAAGGTGCTTTCAGGATGTTATAAGATTTCTGAGTCTCTAACGGGAGTCTGTTACCGGCTTTATGCGTTGTAGGGTGGGGGCGTAAGTCTCGGGCCAAGGGACTACTCGGAGGTTCATGGGTAGTTATAAGTTGGATTATAAGTCCCCCAATATGGATTATAAGTATAGTTACCCTACTTATAAGCCCAATTATAACTACCCATGAACCTCCAAGTAAGGGTTCCCTGTCAAATGTCAAAACAAGGTTTCTAAGGACTTTAGGAGGGACCCCTAATAGCGACCCTTAATCCCATTACCTTAAATAACCACTGTATAGTCCTTATATACCCCTTATATAGCCAAGTAGTCTCCATATTAACTCCAATAACCTACAAGGGTCCCTATTAAGGGTCCCTCCAAAAGCCCTTAGAAGGTTACTTTCAGGGTGCGCTTCTTTGGGTTGTGAGGCTTGGAGCTCAACTTCAGCTCGGCTGTGGGGGGCTGCTTTAGCGCTCTGGGTGCCGTTTGTGGCGAGGGTTTAGGGTTTAGGGTTTAGGGCCCTACGCTTGGGCTTTCTTGGGGCTTGAGGGCGCAGGTTTCGTGTTTTGGTTATTTAAGAATTTCTAAAGATTGGGTTCCAATATGTCCAATGATGCAGGTTCGTCTCGGAGTCTCGTCTGGGGCTTGTCCGTAGTGCTTGGGCTCGATAGGGCGTCCCACAAAGCTATCTAGCTCTTCCGGTCTTGAGCTTCTGGTCTAAGGTAGGAAGCCCTGGCCTTATAACCCCAAAATAATAGGATTCATATAAACAACCTTAATAAAGATGCAAGGTTTGGTTATCAGGTAGATTAACCTGTGGCGGACTGTCGGCGGAGTTGTCGGTCTCTGCGGCTTGAAGCCTTAAGCCGGGCCCTCCGAAAGAGGACTTTCCTGGACCCTTAATGCCCAAACTAGCCTAAGGTAAACGGGTAGGAGCATGTAGGAGCCTGATGCAAAAATATCCTCGTTCTTTGGCAAGTTGTTGATCAATCGGGTTCTTCGTATACAGATCCTAGTATTTCGGGCGCTGAGATCTCGAGACAAAAAGCACAAATGCCATTGCTTTGGTGGCTTTTGGAAACCTTGAGCCCTAATACTCCTACCCTATGGGCTTGAACACGAAAAAAACCTACACTACCCTAGGCCCTAAACCCTTTCTGAACGAGGGCCCTAATTTGAACAAGGTTTCGGGTATATTTTACTGCAAATAGAATGAGGAGCCCCAACAATATTATATGAAAAAAGCCCCTATATTGCCCCAAAACCTCTAAACCCCTGAACCCTTGGACCTGGGTGGTGGTGGCCCGAATGCGCAGAGCAGCAGCGTGCCAGACAGGCCCAAAAGTCCAGGCCCTTCGTATTTGGCTAGCTCTCTAAATTAGGGTATTTTTTGGTGTCCTTGTTGGGGTTTCTTGAAGGGATCTATCAAGGTTTCTACAAGGGTTCTATAAGGGTAGTTCTCTAAGTTAGGATCCCTCTTGGGGTGAAACGGGACCCTAACTTGGAAAGCTACCCATAGGTCTTAAGATGAGGGTTAAGGGGCTGGAAAAAAAGCAAGCGGGTGGTATCGAGCCGCATCGCATCTACGGGTGTTCGGCAGCCAGTTTTCTCGTCGCATCTTGTGGAAAGCTTTCTGTCCGTGCATGTCCGGCAAACGCAATCTTAGTAAAACGAGTCTTGGATCGGAAGACTCCAAAGGGCTTCACGATCGCATGAAGTGCCAATTACAAGGGCTCTTCCTGAAGATCACAGACTTCATAAAGCCGGAGGCCCAAAAGCCCGGAACATTCGGCCCGCAACCAACCCTAGAAACTAAACCCTCAACCCTAAACCCTTAAACCCTAAACCCTAAACCCTCAACCCGGATGCCTTGCCGCAGGAGGCATGGGTCAGCCTCAGCTGCTCTTCGGGGCCCTCCATCTCATCTTTCTCGTGATCCTCAGTTTGGAGCTTGGATGTGAGGATGAGGGCCTTAGGATTCTGGAAGGTTTAGGGTTTAGGGCCTTTAGGGCTTAGGGTTTAGTTTTTTTGCCTCCTACTTCTAACAGTTTTCGGCCTCCGGGGTTTGAACTTTAGGGAGGGCTCTCTGGGATTTAGCACTCCACCCCGTGTCTAGAAACCCAAAAACCCGGCATCCCATCCTGATCCATCAACGCCGCAAGCGGAAAAGAAAGCTAAGCAACCTCAGGTATGAGCCGCTCTCAAGGAGGATGCCTGTGAACGTGTTTAGTCATCGTCCATGTGTATTCGTTGTAAAGTATCGGATTAACAGGCTGATTTAAGACGTTCCTGGATGGGATCATCTTACAAATCCGATATAACTAGTGCAGACAAGCCTACCCAACAAAAGCATGCACGGCGCAAACACACAGAACCACTCAAACCACCAAAATGCTAATCCCCTCGCCCTGCACATCAACAACAAACGCAAAAGCCAACCTGCCTGGCTAGCTGTTCAAGGGCTGATTTTGCTCTGTGAGATGCAAGGCAGGTCTAGGGGTTTAAAGTTCAGGTTTGCGTTTCAGGGTTTTTTCTTAGGGTTTACCTAGACCCTAAAGAACTTACCTTTTTAGGTTTCTATAAATACGTCCTTAAAAAGGTAGGTTCTTTGGGGTTTAGGGTTCAGGGTTTGGGGCAGAGGCCTTAATGATTAGAATAGGGTTTTGGGGCTCATTATACTAAAATTGCAATGAGGAATTCCCAAAAGAGTACAGGCAATTATTTCGGCCCCTACATTTACGCTCTCGCAACTCCCACCGCGCCAGACGAGGTCTCTGTGTTCAACTATACCACGCTGCTTGAACTAGACGGCAATGCCCCCGACATTTAGGGTGTACCTAGACCCTAAAGAACTTACCTTTTTAGGGCTCCGTATTATGGTTTCTATATATACGCCCTTAAAAAGCTAGGCTCTGTGGGGTTTAAGGAAAGGGTTTTACTAAAGCTGTAATAAGGAATCCCCAGGATAGTATAGGTACTTATTTAGGCCCCTACATTTAGGGTGTAGCCTAAACCCTAAACCCTAAACCCTAAACCCTAAACCGTGTAGGGTTTGGGGCAGAGGAACCTGGACAGGCCCAAGCGGCAGGAGCGGACTGGTCACCCCGGAAGCCGGGCTCCAAAGCATCCCCGGGGCGCCAGGAACTCCGTGAGATGGAGCTGCTCCTTTAAGAGGCTTAAGCCTGTAGGGTTTAGGGTTTAGGGTTTAGGGTTTAGGGTTTAGGGTTTAGGGTTTAGGCTTGCTTTATAAGGGCACTATAAGGGGGTCCATACGGAGCTGAAGCTTGGTTTACTGTTTTGGATGTTTTGGGAGTCATGTTTTAAAGGCTGGTTTGGCGCTGGTTTTGGGCTTCAGGGCGTTTGTGAGAATGGAGTTTATGTGGCTGGGGGTTCTGGGGCGGTTCGGGGCTTGTGCTTTAGAAGATCCCTTTCTCCGTCTGACTGCCTGCTTCTCTCGCTCTCGCTCCCCCAGATACAGCGTGCATCTCTGAACTATATACATATATAAAAAATATGCGGGGAGAGAGGGTGTATATGTACATACATATACATATATATACAACCCTAATTGGGCATATAGCTCGATATACACAGCTACCTCACACATCGCTGCTTACTAAGTCCCCTCCTCTTATCAGAAACACCTATACACATACTAATCATACTCACAAAAAATAGCTGTAATAACACAAAGTCGCAACCCTCCTTACTAAGTTCCTTTTGGGGGGTCGATCTGCGGCTGGGCATCATTGGCTCCACGGTGATGGAGAAGTTTTTCAGGAAGCCGGCCGAGCTGTGGCACTCCTCCTCTGTTCCGACCCGAATCTGCCTCGGGGTGTGGCTTTTTTTCTTTCTCGGGGGTTAGGAGGGCTTGGGGTTTGGGGTTTGGGGTTTAGGGTTTAGGGTTTAGGGGCCTCGGGGTGTGTAGTTTTAGGGTTTGGGGGTTAGGAGGGCTTAGGGTTCAGAATTTAGGAATCGGGTCCCTGTGCTGCAGAAGTTAGAAGGTTCAGAGCTCCTTCTTATCGTGAACTTTGCTGCTGTTGCTTTCGAGCAAGTGCAATAGGGCTTCCAGGCTCTGGGCACTATGTGGTTCGGGGGTGTCGGGTCTTGGGTTTAGGCTGAAATAACGCACCGCAAACTGTTGGAGTCAGGCAAAGAAGCCTTGTGGCTTGGACGAGTTCGGTTTTTACGCGAATCACTCCTAATCGCCAAACCTGAGGCCATCAAGTCAGGCCTTGTGGTTTCAGAAGTTGGGGCAAAAATGATAGAGCCGCGCTGTCAAAGCCAGATTCGGGTGCCCTCCACACATGAGCCCAGTCTCAATTTAATCTTCTACACTTAGGCTCCAAACTCGGAACCATCAAAGGAAATATCCCCAAAATACCGGCAACCTATAAAAGGACGGACACTAGACTAAGGGTTCATTTACGCTCTCACAACTCGGACAAGGCAGGCGAGGATACACTAAGGGTTTAGGGCTCATAGGGTTTAAAGCCCTTTGTTGGGCTCCGTGTCAAGTTACCTGAGGGCAGGTCTAAAGTCTAATTAGACTGGAGGGCCCTGGAAACCCAAGACATCTGCACCCCAAAACCCCAAAACTATCAGACGACCCTAAACCCTAAACCCTAAAACCCGCAGAACCCTTCAAGCCCTGTCAGAAACGTGCCCGTAACCCGGGTTTTAGGGTTTAGGGTTTAGGGTATTCAAGACCACCGCAAGAGGAGCCGAGACGCAGCTCGTGGGGATAGATGCGGGCTTCCTGGGTAAGGCGTTTAGGAGCTGAGGCTTGCAGCATTTGCAAGCAGTGGTCTGGTCCATGTTGAGGGACTTTTTCTGAGAAGTCTTCAAACGGAACAGCCCTCACCCCTGTAACTCCGCCATCCCGAACTCCAAAAGCCATGAAAAAGTTCCGGCCTCGGAATCACTAGGTTCCTAACTCCCACAGCTCGGAAACATGGCCCCATGTGTTGGAAAATGGAAGGGAGCCCCCAAGGGCCATGAAGCCCTCTCGAATGAACCGCCCCTGCCAGCTTTGCAAGAGGATCTTGGGGTTAAGCCTTTAAGCTGCAATATGACGGATGCGAGTTGTTCGTTCGGATGTTCGGGGTTGAGGGTGTAATGTAGAGGCCTTTATAATTCGAATAAAGCTTTGGAGGTTCCTACTTGCAACTATAGTATAATATACCCAAACCCTATTCTAACTATTAAGGCCCCACATAATATGGGCTTTTCCCAAGTACGGCAGCCTGAAACGTCCGGTCGAGTTTCCTCCACCCCCAAGGTAGAGCCAATCAAGCGCCCGACCTGGAAGACCTCGGGTTTCAAGGGGATACCCGACTAAACCCTAAAACCCTAAACCCCTAAACCCTAAAACCCTAAAGCCCTACATGTAAAACCCTAAACCGCTAAAACCCTAAACCCCTAAGCCCTAAAGCCCTAAAGCCCTAAACTAGGTTTCGAGGGGGGTGGTGGGGAGTTGCGGGTTGGCGGGTCTCGGGGTTTTGTGACCAGGCCACTTTCAAGCCATCTCTTTCTCTCTCTCTCGCTCTCTCTTTTTCTCTCTCTCTCTCTCTCTCTCTCTCTCTTTCCCTCTCTCCCTCTCTCTCCCTCTCTCTCTTTCTCTCTCTCTCTCTCTTTCTCTTTCTCTCTCTCTTTGCTTTGCTTTGCTTTGCTCGGGGTTTGGGGCTACCCCATCCATCATATTCGACGGATGGGCTCAGCTGTGCAAAGACCGTGTAAGACTGTGCATGACTGTGTGCCCCCTGACTCGAGAGTACTCCTGAAGGAAACACAAGCAACACCACTGAGGCCCGGGCCATTACGTTACCGAGAAGTACGGGTAAGGGCGGGTGCCCCTTTACTACGACTTCGGAGCACGAGTCTTTGGGCGGGTGCCCCTGGCAACTTCTGGTGTGCACAACGGAAAAGCCAGCACCGTGCGGTCCTCAGTCCCCCACGAGTGCCCCCAGAAGCCTACGTCTACGGTGGCTTTCTTGGCTCTCAGGCGAGCTGGCGCCCCTCAGTCGTTCTTCTTCTTGTTGTGGTGCCCCGAGTCCAGCGTGCCACGGGACCGTGTCTGCGCTCTCGTCCCAGGTAGCTTCAGGCTCCGTAGGTGTGAGTTCCGGGTGCCTCGCATCGTTGCTGTGTTGCTGGTTTCCTTGAGCGGGTTCTCCTTCGTCGTCTTGGTGTGCCCCCTGGGCTGGCTTCTCTTGCGGAGCGGGTACCCCTTGTGTACTGGTAGGCGCCGTTCTCCAGGTTCTCGTAGAGCTCGTGGTTCTCCGCCGAGAGGAGTAGGTCTGTTGTAGCAGGTGCTGCAAGCTGGGCGAGGGTCGGTGTAGCAGTTCCAACGGCCAAGGTAAGACTGGTTGCAGAGCCAGGGTAGTAGCCGGTGGTCCAGGTCGTACGGGTCGTTGTGGTAGTCCAGGAGGTCCAAGTAGGTCACGTTGGTCAGGTAGTCCCGGGGGTCGACGGTCCGTGTGTTCCCCTTCCTCGTTGTGCGGGTGCTCCGCCGGCAGTTGCGGTGCCACGGTGGTAGCTGGTGGTCCAGGTCGTTCGGGTCGTTGAGGTAGTCCAGGAGGTCCAAGCAGGTCACGCGGGTCAGGTAGTCCCGAAAGTCGACAGTCCGTGTGTTCCCTTTCTTCGTTGTGTGGGTGCGCCGCCGGTGGCTGTTCAGGAGGAGGTTGAGGCGGTTGTAGTTGTTCAGCAGGTTGAGGGCTCCCAAG